ATGGATACTGTAGATGGTGGATTTAACCAACAGCACAGCCGGGCTTGACCCATCACTATCAGGAAATTGATCAATGACGAATGGAGAATGTGGATATGACCAAGTGGGGTACAAGGTGGTGCCCCGCCAGTCACAAGTTTGTTCATATGGGTATGGATCAATACCTATTAATACCATTTTTAGGGGGATGAACATCCATTTACCAGCTATTTTGATGTTCACCAGGGGTACAAGGTTTTGACACACTGCCATATATACCAATCTAATTGTAGAGATATCTAACACAAATCCTACTAACCCCACAACCAACTTAACTAACTGTGGGGCACCACCTTGTGAGTATATATATATATATCAAAGGGGATACTGTATTCATCCCCCTATTACGGGTTACTATACCCCATTCTAAGGAATCCCTAACAGTGATGGATGACAATAGACTATACCCTATATATATATATATATTGCTATGAGTCTTAGTCATGAAGGACATGCAGATAACCATGATCATATCCAACAAACAGATTCTTTGGTTGTGTGGTTATGCAACCAAATGCAAATGTGATCCTAGCTGTGTCAATATTCATCCAATCTATCAATATTAGACGTGAGCAGTAATATAGCTTGAGCCAAGTCCCTTGCCTGTACTCCATGTGGAATCAGCCCATAGATCTAGCGACAATATGGGTGTCCCTGGTGTCAGAATTTGAGGTACCCCCTCCAAAAAAAAGCTGCTGTGCCACGTAGGGGTCGCTCTTCCCAAGGAGTACATACCCATGCTTTATTGTGGCTTATCAACCCTGAAAAATCTCAGCAAAAAAGTTGGGGTCATCTCTGGGGGTTTGACCCCTAAGCCATGTAATATCCAAAGAAAATCACTAAATGAATGGATAAGCATATTTCCGCCATAAATGGCGGCTGACATGGGTGTTGCGAGCCTTATTCTCATGATATTCCCGCTCTTCGTGAAATCCCTATGCTTGGTCATGGCAGAAACGGGTTTGTCTGAAAATATGGTCCCCAAAAAAACATGGATAATTATGTGATATATGTTTATCTTTAAAATGACCCTTTTGATGGGTAACCGCCTCATTTTCAGACATATATATATATAATCACATATATTACATCAAGTTGGTAAGTATTTGGCAACTGATCTTTCCAATAAACATCTGACTTTTCCCATGAAATTCCATAAAATCACCACGTGATTTGTTGCTTCAAGCAGCGCCGCCATCCGCGAGGTGCGTTGCTCTACGGCGCCCAGCTGTTGGATGGTCAAGTGCGGCTGCGGCTGGTGAAGGGAACGAAGGGGACGTTTGTTGAAGCAACGTGGGTCCCCCATAAATGAAATCGCGAAGTTGGTGAACATCATTCCAATCACTATGGTATGTTTATGATATTTTGAACTTTGGATATACATAATTATATATATATAGTATTTAGGTTTATAATTGGTAAGGATATACATGATTATGCATATATATATACACATATATACATATATATATATACACTGTATACATGTTTTCTTGTGCTACCGACCACTGTTGTATCCTCATCCTCCTCCTTGATAATGTTGATGTTTGTTTTTGTATTGTTTAGATTGGTTAATCTGATAAACTAAGGGAGCCTGATGGGAATATGTGTCCTTTTTAGGAGCTGTCTTGAGAACCTTGAGATCCCTTTTTAGCACGCATCCAAGTTGCTAAAGAGCCAGGTGCTTGTGAAGAAGGTGCTGAAATTGGTCACAGCCAACGATACACGGCCTTTTGTGCTGCTGGCTATGTGCCATCCGTGTCCAGCTTGGAATGCTATGAGACTTGGAAGAAAATGCAATGTGATGCTGATACATATTTTATGGACAAACAGTTGGACAACCGGAAGGTTGGATTTCAAAAAGCATTGCGTTTGTCTCTATGAAACATGGTATTCAAAGCTAAGAAAACGATGCGAAAAACCGGGGTTTTCGTCGAGGCTCTACCTCTAGGGCTTGGCTAAGGATGGTGGACTCTCACCTGTTCCTCTACAAAAATCATGAGCAACGTGGGTTGAGGATCGGATTCTGTGGATGTGGGATATTCACCATTCGAACATCAAGTAATTTGGTGTCAGTCTGGACCAAAATCCAGATTAATTGAACGAATGTCTGGATTCTACTGACAGTTTGTTCACTCATCGGCATTGTCAAGTCATTACGCACAGCCAGATGCATGTCCCAATATTGCGTGTGCAACCAACGAGAGTGAGGTGCTGTAGACAGTGAAAATGGATGAAACATGGGAACGTCTCTGTTTGCAGAAATATCCCTGAGAATACTCATGACAACTATGTGGAAAACTTTAAATTTAGATATTCTCAGTATTCTCTGGGATACTAACCTGCGTGAACGCAGCCCTTTGAATATTGAGAATACAGTCGGACAACCTCATGCCGCACATGCCATTCGAATCGCAACTTCTCAAAAGGCCCTCCAGGAGAGTACAGTATCCCACCAACTGGATGGTTGTGATTCTAGGCCTGCTGTGTCGACTCATCCTATGCAAGCAAGTGGTCTTTGTTAGGAACTATATATGGAACAGCTGTATGAACGTTTGTTACTAGGCCCTTTAAGTATTTCACTACAAGTAGAACCCGGGCAAGCCGGGGGGCGGAAGTTTCATGAATGAAGCGCCTATAGCCAGAGCTGGAAGAAAAATGTGCCCATAGGACGTGGGCCAGCACTCTGTGCTTTGCAGCAACAATCCCTTGACACATCATTCGTGTGACGTCTCTTTCACGTTCCATCTCGCCTTATTTCATCTGATCTCATCTCACCTGAGCTCATCTCAGCTCTTCTCATCTCAACTCACCTAATCTTATCCAATCTCATCTCATCTCATGTCGTCTCATCTCATCTCATCTCATCTCATGTCTTCTCTCCTCTCCTCAGCTCTTCTCAGCTGATCACACCTGTTCTCATCTCTTCTCATGTCATCTGAGCTTTTCTCATCTCTTCTCAGCTCATCTGAACTCTTCTCTGTTCATCTCTTCTCAGCTTCTCCATTCTACGCAGTTCGTCTCAAATCGGCTCTTTGCCGTTCTTCTCATGTCAGGTCGTCTCAATTCATCCCATCTCCTCTCATACCATCTCCTCTTATCTCATCTCATCTCATCTCATCTCGGCTTGTTTCAGCTCATCTCAACTCTTCTCAGCTCATGCCAGCTCATCTCATGTCTTCTCATCTCTTCTCTCCTCTTCTCACATCTTCTAAGCTCTTCTCACATCTTGTCAGTTCATGTCAACTCTTCTCAGCTCACTCTCTTCCCTGGCTCAAAACTTGATCCAAAACCGGATCTCGGCGCCAAAGGCACAAAAAGTGCGATTTGGAATACATTTGAAAGGCACAATTAAGAGGAAAATGGAAAGCACCAAAAACATCCAAAAACGAGAAAATCCATTAAACGCCAATCGTCGCAACTTTGGCGAAGCCAGTCCAATGCCATTTGCAAGCAGCAAGTTGCCAAAGACCATGAAACTACGTGCGCAACAGCGACATAGAGCGACAGTGACGCAGCCACTCCAATGTGATTTGCAAGCATTGAGCTGCAAAAGACCATGGAACTACGTGCGCACGAGCAACGCAGAGCAACCTTGATGCAGCAGCCACTCCAATGCAATTTGCATCCTGGCCAAAACCTGCTCCAAAACCGGATCTCGGCACCAAAGCCGAAAAAAAGTATGATGTTGAAGCCTTTTTAAAAGGAATTGTAAAGGAAAATGAAACGCGCCAAAAACGAAAAAAAACACCAAAAAATATGTCGCAACAAACACGCATTTCGTGCGAGACTTCCTTCAAAACCTTAAAGTTCAACTTGTGAAAAGGAAGCTTTTGTGCGAGACATCCCTCAAAAACTGAAAGTTGAGCATGTGAAAAGGAAGCTTTTGTGCGAGACATCCTCAAGAAACTGTCAGCTGAACATGTGCAAACGAAGCTTTCGTGCAATACTTCCCTCAAAAACTCAAAAGTTAAAGCTGTGACAAGCATTGCTGTGACAACTAATAGTGTGACAATCATTGCTGTGACAATCATTGTTGTGACAATCATTCCTGCGAAAATCAGACAGTCATCTCAGCGACAATCATAGTTGTGACAATCATAGCTGTGACATTCATTGCTGTGGCAATCATTGCTGTGACAAGCATTGCTGTGACAAGCATTGCTGTGCAATTTTTTTCTGTGACATTCATGTTTGTGACTGTCATTTTTGTGACCGTCATTGCTGCGACTGTCATTGTTGCGACAATCATTGCTGTGACACTCAATGCTGTGACAATCATCGCTGTGACATTCATTGCTGTGAGAATCGTTGCTGTGACATGCATTGCTGTGAAATGGTGGCTGTGACTGTCTTTGCTGCAACTATCAATGCTGGGACTGTCATTGCTGTGAGAATCATTGCTGTAACAAGCATTGCTGTGACAATCATGTCTGTGACATTCATTGCTGCGACAATCATTCGTGCGACAATCATTGCTGCGACTGTCATTGCTGCGACCGTTTTGCTGCGACAATCAATGCTGCCACAATCATGTCTGTGACCGCTATTGCTGTGACAATCATTGCTGTCACTGTCATTGCTGTGACTGTCATTGCTGCGACTGTTATTGCTGCGACAATCATTGCTGCGACAATCATTGCTGTGACAATCATCGCTGTGACATTCATTGCTGTGAGAATCGTTGCCGTGGCTTACAAACCTCCGCCATACGGAAGTATATAGACTTCTAAACATCCTTTGGCAACACTTCTTCATACTTTGCGTCAATCTGTAGAATCTGAAGAATTGGATGTTCTTTAAAAAGAACAACTTGCCATGGCCGCATCAGATGTCGGCAGTTGGCTGGAGGCTAATCCACAAATGGACACTGGAAGTTGTTTACACGGGCTGCAGATTTGCGGGGCAAAGGCTCTTACATGGTGGAGAGATACAACGGACCCAGTGATTCTCAACAGTCCCTGGCTACGACGGGGAACCGGACGGTTTTTCCGGGCTCTTTTTACTTTTGGTCAGATTGGCGCCTGGCTATGCGTGCTGCTTCCCAATCCACGCATGAGGTCGGGCTATATAGACGACAACATTCCGTCTTTGGTTGTGGCGGCTGTTTGTCTTGCACTTAGTTCAGGGACTTCCCTCTGGACAAGCCGTGAAAACTTCAGAGGTAGCATGTTCTTCGGGATTGGTAGTGCAATCAGTATCAGGCTGCTCACAGCTCGAGAAATCCACTTTAAAAACCAGTTCTCTTACAGCTTTGTTATTGCAGTGATGTGCCACTGCAATGCTCATCCTGCGGTGTTGCTCCTGGTGGTTTTCTACCACTTGCTTCTTATTCTTGGTGATCTATACCATGGTGATCTATACCATGGTCAGGCCTTCGTTGCCTGTATGACTATGATGACTTTCGAGTGCGCGATGTTGGTAGCTTTTACTTGGGATTTCACACTGCGTGTCAAGGCTGGGATTTGGCAATAATTCCAAACAGAAGAAAACTGTTGGGTTTCAATCTCTATAGAAGCAGAGGGTGGTATCACGACTTCTCCCTTCTTGCCCATGCAAATGCAGGATTGGATTGCGGGAACCTTGGAAATTTGTCTCCAAGTTGTCTCCCAAACCCACCGTGTCGTTTCGTGGAACCTGGGAACCTTGTCTCCCACTTTGTCTCCCAGTTGTCTCCCACTGTGTCTCCCATTGTTTGTCTTCCACTGGAACCTTGGAACCTTGTCTCCCAGCCGTCGCTCAAGTGTATGCCGATTATCTCCCTATTGTTGCCCTATGCCTATTGACCTATTGTCTTCCAATTGTCTCTCTGGTGTCTTCTACTTGTCTCACACTTGTCTTCCGCTTTGTCCACACTTTGACTTCCACTTTGTCTCCCACTTCGTTTTCCACTTGTCTCCCATTTCTCTCCCACTTCTTTGCTCATTTATTTTGCTTTCCACTTTATCTGCCACCTTCGTCTCCTGCTGAGTCTCCCACCTGTCTCCGACTTTGTCCCCCACTCTCTCTCCCACCTGTCTCCCACTGTGTCTCACTGTGTCTCTCACTGTCTGACACTGTGTCTCCCATTTGCCTCCCACTGTTGTTCTTACTTTGTCTCCCGCCTTGTCTCCCGCTTTGTCTCCCAGATCCGTTTTCCACCCTATGTCCCACCTTGTTTCCCTTTTGTCTTCCAGCCTTTGTCTTTCACTTTGTCTGCCGCTTTGTCTCCCACTTCTGTCCCACTTTGTCTCCCATTATGTTACCCCTTTGGCTCCCACTGTGACTGACTCCCCCTTTCCTTGTCTCTGATTGTGTCTCACAATGTGTGTGTCCGGCCTTGTCCCCCGCTTTGTCCCCCACTTGTTTCCCACTTTGTTTCCCACTTTGTTTCCCACTTTGTTTCCCACCTTGTCTCCCACTTTCTCCCCCACTTTCTCTCCCCCTTTGTCTCCCACTTGTTTACCTCTTTGTCCCGCACCTTGTCACCCCACTTTGTCCGCCACTTTGTCTCGCACTGTGTCTCCCGCTTTGTCCGCCACTTTGTCTTCCACTTTGTTTGCCACTTCCCACTTTGTCTCCCTCTGTCCCACTTTGTCTCCCGCTTCGTCTCCCGCTGTGTCTCCCACTTTGTCTCCCACTTTCTCTCCCAGTTTGTCTCCCACTTTGTTTCTCTCCTACTTTGTCCCCCCTTGTTTCCCACTGTGTCCCTTACTTACTTAATTTGTTTCAATCTTTGTCTCCCACTGTGTCGCCTACTTTGTTTGTCATTTTGTTTCCATGCTGGATTTCGAGAGCCAAAATGTGACCCAAACATGGAAGTTACTGCTATTGGGTTGCAAAGCTGGGTTAATCGGTGGAATAATGTGTTCAATGGTCAAATGAGCTGTGTTTTTGGCAAGTTTGAACCCAAGTAGGGTGGACCAAACGCACCCCTGATTCGAGGCAGTTTGTTCAGGCGTTCTTTTCGGTGAGAACGATGAGGTGCTTGAAAGCCCGGTAGCCGGGCGCTCCGCACGCAGCGTCTGTTGGGTTTCTGGTGTCAATCAATGGGTTTTATGGGCCGCAACCATGATCCACGATGATGTTGAATCCACCCGGCAAAACGCAGCCTTTCTTCGCAACCACATTCCTATCAGCAGCGTTGCAGTGCCTTTTCTGTCTGTCGGATATGTCGGATTTGCTGTATGTAGCAAGCGCAGAACCTCAGGAGCCTCCTTTACAAGCTGTGCATGGCATGAGGATTTTGCAATGGCCTTTTTCTGTTGCGCGCCTGCAGTGCTTCTGATGGTGAACTTTCCATTAGCTCGCATTGAATACATGCACATGGAAACGAAACTCCTCTCTTGGTACGATTTCCAGGATGAAACAATCCGCCGGAGCCTCCTTCTTTGTACCACTGGCCTTCAAACATTGATACAAGCCGGATGCCACCCGATGATTTGTGCTGCAGCAGCCGCAAGCCTAACAGCTGCCAGTGTCTCGATGCCATTGGACGAGGAGTTGGTGAAGATAAAAACTATAATATGGACAATATATACCCTTTCAGAAGCTTCATCTACTTTTCGCCTGTTGTCATTCAGAGCGCACTGGCTTGGTTTCTGGTAGCGAGCCACCTGATCGACTTCTTCTCTCGCTTGCGCGCCCTAGAGAGAGGAATGCAGCAGAGTCGTCAGAATGATGCTTCTTCACAGAGGCTTCTTGGCCTGTGTCGATGCAGTTTGGGCAAAATTCTGTGAACATTGCAACCATGCTTGGCCTCAAATCTTGGTACAGTTTTCACCATGCCGAAAATATTTTCCAACCTGTCTCGCAATTTGACATCTAAATCCACCGCACCATAACTACATGATTGATTTCATTTTGCTATAGAAAAGTGGTGATAATGTGAAGTGGTGATGCTGTGAAGTGGTGATGCTGTGAAGTGGTGATGTTGTAAAGTGAACTGATGATATGGTGTGATGCAGTGATGTGGAGTTGGGCTGATTTTGGCTCCTGTAAGGCAAAGTTTATTTCTGATTTGTGTTTCTTCACAGATTGGGCAGAATTCCGTGAACACAACATATATGCTGGGCCACAAATCTTAGTACAAGTCAGTTACAAGTCTCAGACTCGTTTTGGATCTTTCTAATATGCTTTGTTTTCTAGAATCTATAGAACTTATTCTGCCACAATTTACATCATGCAACTTCGGTATTGCTTCAACTTCGGGGCGTTTGCCAGGTTTCTAGCCTGCGAGAGGGATGGAGTGGAACTACCGGCTATCAATGAGGCATGGCCCAGGTCCCCAAAAAATATGTTCAGCGCGAACGCCACAGAGAAACCTCACCAGCCAACACTGATGAAACTGAAGAAAAGATAATGAAAGGAACCACCCAAGAGAACAACTCTCTGAAAGAATCATCTACAGGACGCCAGAATATTCCAAACACAGAAATCGGATATCAAACTGATCAAGACACATGACTTGACTTGACTGATCAAACACATGAAGTCGTTTGGCACATTGGAACTGACTGAGACGAATTCACGCCTGAACAGTTTGACAATTGCGTGTATTTGTTGGCATAGGTTATGCGTTGTGAAGATCCGTCCTTGGAACTTCTTGCTGCTCCTCCGGGCCCATCAAAGCGCGGTCCATCAGCAGTAGTGGCCGTCGTGCGGCATGCAGAACGAGCAGACAACATGCAGACTTTTGATACTTGGGGTGTTTCGAAAGATGCAGAGAACTTTCCACATGATCCACCCATCACAGCCAGAGGTGCTGAGCAAGCAGAGCAGTTTGGCTTGATTTCAAGAACGTGTTTGATGCGGTTAGAAAATGAATGGTCAAAATTGGGTGAATATGGTTGAGATTTTTATGCTTAAGAATGTCTAAGAGGAGGCCGCTTTAATATTTGACATATTTGAAACTGCATTGATGCAAATTGAGGCAACTCGCTGATGAGCTGAAGATGAAAGAGATTGATTTCGGAGTCATTGTTTCTTCTCCGTTCCTGCGTTGCCTGCAAACTGCCTTGATCTTGGCGGAGAAGTTTGATGCGAACGTTTTGATAGATCAAGAGTTGGGAGAAGTGATGGGACCGCCCGTGTTTGAAACAAAGCCACCGCTGCCTCCTAGGCCTTGGAGCAATCTGACACTTGACTCACTTGACAGGGAAGTAGTTGTGGATCATCTGTGGGTCCATGTTTTTTTTTCATTTTTTTTGTGAAGTTTTGGATGCGGAGAGAAACTGCAAAGTTTGTATGGCATTGCATGGCACAAGTGGCAAAAGTCGTCAGTTTCCAAACAGACACTTGCCCCTCACACACTTGGATACACTTCGAAGGGAGAGGATGAAATGAGATGAGATGACAGTTCATGGTTCGTGGTTCATGTTCCATGGTTCCGCATGCCGGGTTTGTGGCTTAGCCCAGTTGCCATACCAAAAGAAAGGCATGTACGACGTCGGAAAGGCGTCCCTTTCCGATATCACAGATCAATGCAAGTGTCTTTGTTAATTAGTGCCAGACTTGCATTGACCCCTGGCCCCCTCTGCTCACATGTAAATGTGACTGTTGTTGACCCTTTGTTGCAGGGTTTCCCACACACATAGCGCGCTAAGGAAAGCAACTTTGAAGGCCTCTACAACCTCAGCAAATTCACATGAACGCCTGCGAGCAGGACATTTGATGGGCAAGGAGCCTCAGTGGAAAGAATCTCTTCAGGAGGCTCGTCTTCGGTATGTGAAGCGATACTTGGATTATCTGCGCCGCGCTCGTCATACCAAAAAGAGCTGCTTGCTGGTGACGCACGGCCACATGGTACAAGTGTGTGCGAGCGTGCTGCCAGTAAACCAGCATCGTAAGATAGTTTCAGTTGACTATTGCGGTGCCGCAGTTGCTGAATGCCACAGGCTGGGAAAGGATCGCAACCGCCGTGACGCGTTTTTTCCTGCGAGGGCTCTTTCATTTGATTCTGGAAGGCAACAAGTTGAAAAAGAAGAACATGTGCAAAGCCAATCCGATGAGAAGAACGAACTTATCCAAGATGCCAAGATGAGCTATTGGACCCTCTTGTTGCGTGGTGTCCGTATGGTTCCTGCAGACACTCCCTCAAATGGATCGCACGTATCTGGATTGAGTGCGGCAACTCTGGGTCAAAGTTGGCAAGACGTAGTCAAATTGCTTGGGGTGTTACCTCCGGTGGCACCTTTACCTTCGGACCGTCAAAGTGAGAGCGAGTGCAGTTTCAGGACCCGCACGAACACGACTGTCTCCATGAAGATGATTCGCAAGCCTGACTCTGCGCCAAAGTCTCCCAAAAACGAGCACTGCGTGCCAGTTTTGGACAAGACAGCAGTGACAGAAGTGACTCAAAATGAGCAACCTCCCGTGGCTCCCAAATTGAAGCCGCTCACGTCTGGGTTGGCTGCCCGGCGCGGCTTCAGCCAGTCCAAACTGCCCGCCACTGTTGTTGAAGATCAATTGTAAATCGTTTATAGGTGCAATTCAGTGCACTTCAATGTTTTGCTTCCAAAATCTTCCAAAGTAGAACCAAAGTTCCCACAAAAGCGGGTGTTCTACAATGCGTGATTCTTGCCAACCAGAGTGCTTGCCCTACTCAAGAAAATTGCGCAGTTCTTGCCGTCATGCGGGGGTCTGTCCTTTAAGGTGCTACTCCAAGGATTTTCGACGGACGTATTTGGCATGCTGATCAGGATAATCTCGGGCCTTTGAAAACCTTGTTGGATTCAGGTATCTTTTGGAGGCACAGCTATTCAGCTGAACGGCAACGAGGAAAGCCGCTTGTGAGCCCTGCCGTTGTTGCCGTCGAAATATGCCAGATCAGCCTCAGCCAAGTGCGGTTCATGTTAAAAACACATACAAACATGTTACAAAAGCGAAGGTGGCTCATGCATGAGTCGATGATAGTCAATGAACATGAGCATTTTGTTTGCTCTTCATCTCCGGAATTGCGGATTGCAATGATAATCATCTCATGTCGTGTGGGTGTTGTTGATGTTGTTGCTGTTTTTGAGGACAGTCCAAGTGTTGGGAACCATCCGAGGAATATGCATTGAGAAGGTCCACTTCAAGTACACATATAAAATTTAACAATGATTGAAGACATTGTTAGACTCATATTTTGTGCTGATTGTCCAAAGTGACTCCAACTGACTTTTCCTCTTTGGGATTCAAAATTCACGTCAGTGTTTCGGATGAGACTCCACCGCAAACCACGTTTCTCCCTGCAGTCTGCAGTCGACAAAGACAGGCTCTGTCGAGCGACACAATACATCAGTAGCTGTTCATGAAAGATCACTGAGCGCCGCAGATTAATCTCCTGAATAGGACATATGTGACGTGGGTATGTCTGAAGTGGTGATGTTCCATGATTTTCCCCGATTTTACCCCCAGCTGCCATTTTAATAAAGGAGATGATGTCAAACCATGGGATTGTTGGGGACCATTAACATGCGGGACAAAGCCACAGGGAATCTCTATGGCCTGCGAATTTCTGGCCCTGGATTTGTCACAACAGATGGTATGACAACTGGACAGGATGTTTCATGGATGGAAGCGATGGAAGTCTCGCTGGTCATAATATATATGTACTTATATTTGCATAGTATATAGTATGTGTAATATGTACATATATGCATAATAATTATATATATATATTTGTTATTATATTTACATTTTATACATATGTAACCAGATGATTTTACACACATATATCATATATATATATATATGAATACATATTCGCTGTTGTGTTTATGGTTACATGGGTTGAATCAGCAAATATCCTTCTGATTCTGGGAAAAGTGGCAATTGTGGTTGCTTAAGGTAGGTCAATATCACCAACCACCAACCATTGATTTCCGCTTCTATGGAATATTGCGACCTTGCAAATCAACATCAACGTGTTTGGGTCGCCCAGATCATTTGAAAATGCGTGATATGTAGTCATTCAGGGCACGGGTTAGCTCATACAAAGCCTCTTCGATTCAGCACGAGAGTTGTACATAGCCTGGCGCCCAACATCGCCCAACCAGGAATGATGGACGGCCAAAGATGCATCGAAGAACAAAAAGAACCGTGCTATGGTCAGAATGCTCCCGGTGACTGGATTTCATTGGATTTCCATCCTTTGAAACATGATTTCCAAATCTTCCAAGTATGTCTAATATCTTCACCATTAAGTGATCCCCAAGTGATCATTTTTGTGAACGGTTGAAGCACCAAGCGATTAATCAATGAACGTACCATGGTGCTTGTGGATGCGCAGCATGGTGTGACAGGATTCTCAGAACCGGCCTGTGGTGATTGAGCGCTGCAGCCTTGATCCATGGTGAGGACGCTTCAACAGTGACGTTTCAATCCACTCACATAGGAAACATTGGGCCGGCAACGTCCTCAGTTGTGAGTTAGAACCACCTTGAATTATTCATTCATTGTCAATTGTGAGTTAGAACTTAGGACCACCTTGAACTGTTCCAACTGGGTACCTTTTGCTATTGGACCCAGGTGGATTTTCTTGAGAGGGTACCAGCGGACCAGTCATGATGGCCTTGGCCCATGTCTTCGATTTTTGCCCCAGCTTTCGATTCATGATGCTACTGCAAAAGGCGGAAGAGGAGAGAAAGACATCACACCAAAGATCTATATATCATGTTCTATCTATCTCGCCTGTACTTGGACGTGTGTGTACTAGTGTATATATATAATATATATATATATAATATATATATATATAAATGTATTAGAAATATATTTCTGCACCACCCTTGTTTACGCATCACCGCAGGCATCAACTCACTATTTATTGGTCATCAAAAAGACCATTAATTTTGTTTTAAGATGTCCGACGTTGATTGTGGTTTCAAGTCTTCTTTATGTCCATCCAACAAATGTGATCATGAGTCTAGTTAATGAGCATTTCGCTTGGGGAAAACCACCAGCCAGTGTTTTGCCCAACCCGGCAGACCTCTGCTGCTGAATTTTCGACCTCCGCCATGAAGTCTGGCAACCGATATAGTCGGCAGCAGACCACGCGAGTGTCAACGAGGCGCTCCAGGGGAAGTAGAAGCGTAGCCCCATAGGCAAGAGTTGATGATGATGAATACCTTTTGGCAATCACACACGGCAAAGGAACATCAACAATTTAATTTTAGATGGTGTTCCTATCAAGCCTCCAGTCATGGTGGATTTCCCATTGCCATGTCTGATTACCAGAGGGTCAGAAGAAGGGTGGCTTATCCGAAAATAGGACACTCAATTTCATCCCATGGTTTATACATTACAACCCCAAATATTTCTGGTACATCCTCAGGACTGGTGTGGGTAGTATAATGTCAGATTGCATCAGATTGTGTAGAGGGTATGTGTCTTCCTTTACGATTTATCATCACGTTCTCCAATACAGTCCTAGGTAAATCTTGCATTGGTCGTTTAATCCTTTAGTCTTTCGGTATCAACGGGATTATCTACTAAGCCGTTTTTTTGGCAGGGTATCTAAGATTGGCCATGATTTTTGCAATTTTGGGGCACCCGAGTTTTGGACAGACCCATATGTGCAAAGGGGACCATGTTCAAGATGGGGAGTACCGGGCACCTTAACCCCCACCAGATTACTCCCACCATGTTCAATATCAAGCCGTGCAGTTGTGGAAGTAATCCAATCCCCTGCAACATACCCTCTGGTAAACTAACATGTAACATAACTATGCAAAAATAATCATGTTTAATGGGTAAACCAACTATAAATGTGCAATTTTTACATAGCTATGTTAAATTACCAGAGGGTATATGTAATATTGAGCTTCCCCCAGTAGGGGAGCCCAAACTGAATACATCCAATAGTAAACAGCGGGTTCCAAGGGGGCATTCAATATAAAGGGATTCATATGTTTGACCCATAGCCATAAGGTCAAGACACCCAAAAGACGGTGTATACAGTGATGGTTAACCTTTAAACAATGGCTACCGCACCACCACCAATTTTGATATTACCGTACATAATGTTCACAAAGCCTAACAAATGTGCAAACCTAGAACCAAACATGGTGGTATGGTAAGATTATATTCTGCCAAAACCAACTGGTTTAGGGTTTATCACAATTCATGACTTCATTGACAAGAACAACTAAGCAAATTGAGCAGTGTTCGAAGCCCCTTTCGGTTGATGATTGTAGGGTTTATGAGACCCAACATTGTAGGGATTATCATCATCCTTGAGCTGGGAATCCTGATTGACCAATTAGTTTTTCAAGGAATGACAGGTTAAGATGCTTGAGTAATTCCATCAGTATCCTCATATTGTTGGTTTATTCCCATGATATTCACATTGACATCCCGAATGATATTCCCATCTATTCCAGCTAATATTCTCATACATATCCCAGCTCACTTAGTCCCAGATCCATAGTATATCATTGCGGTACCCCCATTAAATCTGATTAAACCACCATCTACCATAGTTGTCCTCAGATTGTTGGTTAATATCCCCATTGATATTCCCACTAAAATATTCGGTCTTATATCCCATCAATATTTGTTAAATGTCCATGATATTCCCATTATTCCCATCACAGGCCCAGCAGCGTGGCCTCCGGCTGGACAGGGGCACACACTGACCATGATAGGAGCTGCGGGCATGATGATGAGCCAGGGGATTTTGAGGTAGCAGATGACAAAAGCCATTCTTCAAGGAACTTGGTGGATATTGACTCCGAAAACTCGGGTATGCTTGGTATTATATAATTAGTCAATGCTTCGTATGAACACATTTATGGCACAACCTTGCCAACCAAACCGCACAAATGAATTCAAATGATGATTAGCAGTGGACTTGGTCAAGTGAAATACATTTGGGTTAGATGTTGAGCAAGCAGAAGACTTTGTATAAACTTTGAGCTCAGGCTCTCAACAGTCTTACCGTTTACTCAATATAGACCTGGACCTACTTCAGTAATCAGTCTACTGACATGGTTACACTCCAGTATTCAAACGTGGCAAACTCGGAAATCTCTTCAGAAAATGAAGGTTTCTAGCTGGGAAATTCATCTATAACTACAAGCGTAGGATTTCCCAGCCAGCCATGTTTGATGACACCGGAGGATATATTTCCCATTATATCTCCATTACATCATCCCTATATTGTATCCCATTCAATCAATATTTGCATTGTTTAAATCATCCAGTTTTCTGCGTGTTTGTTGGGTAAATCGTTAAATCACCATTTTACATCATTTGTGTTAGTTAGATCACTATTGTCCCATCGTTTCCCATCGTTTTTAAGTTGATGATTTTTTGAATCACAAAACAGGCAGCCGGGTGACGCCAGGAAGGAGGAAGTCGAGGCAACCAAAGATGTTGCGGACATCGCAGGGCGACTCAGGGGTCAAATCCACTGGGAACTTCGCAATGAGGGTCCCTGGTTATGTCTGTTAGTTTACAGCCCCTTTGACATCATCTAACATCATTTGATTAGAGTTAAACATATAAACGATATATATATATATACATATATACACCTTTAACTACCATAAACCTAACTTGTCCTATAATTATAAACCAACTTACTGCTATCGTCTGGGGCCCCACATTGAATATCTAGATGTAACCCGTAAGAATTGGTACTGTAATTGACAAGGAAAAGATGTGCTTTGTCCAATGAAGCCCACAGCTTGGTTGAGGATTTATTTGCTTCGAACAATCCCATACCCGTAAGACAAAAAAAAACCTAGAAACTCTGATTAAGTATTGGATCTTTTCATTTTGGGTCCATCTGTGGGTGAAATCAAGCACTGGGGACCCAGTTGGCGCATCTGCAGGCTACATTATTTCTTCATCCATTTGAGTGATCGCAGAAATTTGGGTGTTTTATCCTCAGAACATGATTTGAATAACAAGAAATGTATATGAGGGGCATGTAAGTATATAATTACTTGTCTTGAAATGACGCCCTATATTTACAACAAAACGATTCAGAAGGTACCAAAAATCAGGGAAAGCGGCCGTGATATAAACCAACAACGTCTGACAACAATGGATAAACCATTGATTTAATTCATATGATTTGATTCATTGCCCAAAAATATATAAGCTATATTGTCCATGTTTATATCATATAGACAATTCAATGGTATTCATTGTCCATAGATAATCAATATGATTGATCAATGGGTATAGCTTAAAAGCAACGGATTTGGTGGTTGAAATCCACAGTGGATGATCCCCTTTGTGGCTGCCGCATCGTTCAATGTATTGGTTCAAAATCGAAACCGGAGATCACGTGTTTTCCTTATAAGCTACCGGGATTCCGATTTTCCTATGACCCAAATATGGGATCGTTGAGTCTTATAGATGGTTAATTCGAATTATAAGCTACTATATCCAAGAAGATCCCAGAACATTCGCCATTTGCCCTCTGGTTATGTAACGTAGCTAAGGAAAATCAAAAACGATGTTTTTCATCTATTTCCTGGACCGTTTTCCGTAGCAAACTATCAAATAACCAGAAGGGTTTTCCAGGATTTTAATCAGGATTTCCTCCGCTACCAGTTGTGGTGAACACCTAAGGTCACAGACCTCCTGCAGGACGAAGAGAACAGGTGCCTCGCCGTGTGTAGGTGGTGTAGGTGGTAAGGGGAAATGCCCTTCTTTGGCGCATCACAAGAAGTAAGTGGTCTTTATCTTTTTAAAACCACCCATATACACTGTATATTATATACTGTATAATTTTGGATATCCAGGTAGTAGATTCACATATCATTTGGTGAGTATATGGTGTGGACCCTCTTACTAACTGGGATGCAGTTTCCAAGTCAGCAGCTGGCTGGGTGGCTTCTCCCGATCTTTGACCATAGGATGATGTTTTTCCAAGATATACCAAGATATTTAGGCTAATACACAAAGAATGACACCTATATAGAACTCCATGAATCCTCTCTTTTTTTTCTACATAGAATTGGTTGGAGGGATTTTTGTTCATGGACAACCCCATACAGTATTTCCAAAGGAAAACCCATGGTTTCCGGTGTATGTTTTCCCAAGAATAGTCATATATACACATTTACATACTATATATATATATATATATAGATATACACAGCATACATTATCACACCTTATTAGATTATACTAGCCATAGAAATTTCTATCTTCCACAAACAAAAATCGACGGCAGGTCTGCCGGGATGGTGCTGCAGTGTTTGGAGGTGTCCGACGTGTCCGACGTGTCCGACGGAACTGGACATATTGCTAGATGAAACCAACAAAGAATTGCTGAAGATTCCACTAGACATTGAATGACCCTAAAAAAATGTCGAATATAAATGTTTGTGGGATATTTTTTGAGATATAACAATAAATGGAATATAACAATGTAAATGTTGTGACCCTAAAAAAATGAATGTGTGTGTGATGTTATATCCCATTGTATTGGAGGTACAAAAAAAATCATCCATTTCTTGATAGAGTTTCCATGAACTCATCCAGTCATTGGATTGGTTTTGTTGGGAAAATTAACCGGAAACAAAGTTTTTTTACCATCGTATATGGGGGTTTCCGGCTAAAATTGTCCCACCAATCCAATGATTCATGGGATGATAAAAATTGGACTTTGTCTACTGTGTCCATGCTTGATGTGTGGGATACTTGGGTGTCTGAAGTTTGTTTTTATACACCCAAATGGCTATTTTAGTGCGGAAAATTCATAATTAACCACTGCATTTAGGGGTACTCACTCTATTTTCATATATACTATTTTAATGACCACAAACACTTATCGGAGACAGTGGAAACATGTGACCAAATTGGAAAGATGTGAACAAATATTCGGAAATATGGAAACTCATGAATATTTTAGAGGACGAAATGTTAGCAATGTTTATGATATGGAATCTTGACACCCCATAATTAGTCAATCGATGGATTTTGTTTTTGTTGTATGAACTCACTCAAAACAGCTTTCGGTATCCAAGTTCAGAGTCTCAAAGTGGTTACAGGTCACCCATTTGGTTCCCTTCAACCTACTATACATGTGGGTTTGTTCTGCGGCTTTGCTTCGTTATCCCAGTATATCTCCATCATATCCTCATTATGGTTGGCTATATACCCCGCGTCCCATTAAGCCTGGTTATACATCCCATTGACCAATGGTATGTCCAAATTCTTTGTTGGTGTTGTAGCCATTCAACATAGAAACCACCAAAAAGATAGAACCATGGAAACATTGAAAGTATGGTGTAAACCATCATATAGTATTATGGTTGGGTATTGATCTAAAATAAGAATATCCATTATATTCATTATATCCTCATTATTGTTGATTGTATATCCCACGTCCCATTAACCAACGGTATATTCCCTTTAGATACCAATTTTATATGGGCTATTTAGCCATTCAATGTATCTGTTTTCTGCACAAACAACCTTTGGTCCGGTCAGGTGGTCCTGATGAAACTTCATAGCGAATCGCCCGCGAGGCCGAAGAAAAAGAGGGGCGTTCACCTAGACAAATAAGAATTTTAGATATTTTTAGTATATCTTCTGAAAAGGTTGGATTTAACTGGATTTAACTATGTTATGTGTCATCAATGAAACATTGTTTTTTTACAGAAAACTGTGGATTTGAGCAACCAGAATGACTATTTAACCACAAATTGTGAATAGTCCATGACCACTTGAATTTCATCCTCATGAATAATGGATTCGGATAGCCCAAAAACGGCGAATTTACCCAAGAATGGCACGGATGATCAGGCTTATTGCATCAGGGTTCCTAGCCCCTAGCTGAATTGCCCCATGGTCTGTTGGATGTCAGCAGCAACCCTGATGACTGTCAGACGACACAGGTTTCACTGAAAATAGGATACCCCAAAATTTGGATGGTTATATACGAATCAATTGATGATTAAAACATGGTAAAATTAACATTTTAATTATGAAGACTGCATGAATGGTCATCATTTGCCCCATTCAATCTACAGTATTTTTTATGTTGTATCCCATAGAATCCCCATGGCCTAGGAAAAACCGTGACCCCGCAAGATTATCAAGAAAAAACGCATCGCAAAGCCTGGTTCCAATCAACCTGTCTCAGATTGATCCAATGTTTTGCAATTCAAATACCATTATTTTGGTTCATTGCAACCCGCATTTCAGGACTCCTCGTCATTCATTTCCACCGCTTTGGGTTTTGATATATTCATTTATCTCAAACTGAAACAATTTAACTACAACTAAGATATTAATAAGTCGACTTGTTATTCCGTCCAGATTTTCCAGTTTTCTGCGATGGGAAGTTTGGAACGTCCACGCCCGGCAGGTTGGCGGCCGAGATGGATCGGCTGCTGCCGCCCGTGGCCAGTAGCACGGCCGAGGAGATCAAGGCCACGGCGTCGGTTGTGGTAACCAAGTTGAGGGATATGAAACAAAAGTGATGTGGGTTAATTTAGCTGTTTGTTCTTTGAACATCTTTGAAGATGAAAAACAAAAAATACTGGTGATCCTACGGATCATTGCGTTTGCAGCATGTCATGGTGATGTTATTGGTTGAGTTCCAACACATTGTTGCGGGAGAATTGTCAGGGAGGATTTGGACCAACCTTTCTTTTTCGCTCTGAGTTGCCCTACATTTCGTGCGACCTCAGCAGAATGTGCGCGTGTGTATCCTGCTTTGTAGATGTTTATAGAGTGTATAATGGCTTTGGAAATAGTATTTGGATGTACGTATTCTTGTTTCGAGTTCTGGAATATGTTTTCTTTAGTCCTGATCATAGATTCTTGCGACCCATGGGCAAGGGTTGAAAGAGGGTAAATGTCCCAATTTGATAACCAACCATCACCTTAACAGTCAGATGGCTGTTGATGATGATACCGAGAAAACTAAAACAACTAGCTGCTAGCTACAAAAAACACAGCCCAGATGATACAAACCATGAGGTTTGACCAACAAACCGGGAGATGTGAACCCATGTGAATCTGGTAATCAAGCATGGCTTCAAAAAAATCACCAATTGTGTTCGATAAAAAATCCCGCGCAGCCATTGACTGATTCAGACTGATATACTGATCACCAGAGGGTGGCCAGGCTGGCAAGCAGCATCGCCCACGGCTTCTCAAAGAAGTTGAGGCATGGTGCCGTTGCCCAAGTTCGTTAGCTAACTTGTTTTATAACTAGGAGAACTACGGGTTCTGGTAGATATATCGAGCTAGTTAATGGGGTTTATGAACCATATGGATACATGAAGATCGAGATACATATCGAGATAATTGGACAAGATACTGGATATATAGAGAGTTGTAGATACACAAAAAGCACATGTCACTAAGACATGTGTCATATTTGTATATTAATGTGTTTGCTATGTTTGATTTTACACAGCAGGCAGGCACGCCCTGGAACAAACTCTTGGAGCTCCAGTGATATCTCCATAGTTGGATGAGTCAAAATCGTGAAATGGTCGTTGCTTTAAATCATCCCGTGCATGGACAATATCTTGACACCCCAGGCAACAGCGCACCGAAAAACTTAAGGCGGAATCCAGTCAATCCATAAATATTGTTCGGTCAGATCCACTAAATGCGTTGGCCAAATGCAGATACCTGCATGTATGCGTAAGTTATATAATTCCACGACTTGTGCGCGTTTTTACTCAACATATTTGTTGATCAGCACGGTTTGTGGTTTCATCTTTACTCGCCGAGAGTTAGCTCCAGATGTTGATCGGTTCGTTATCCCCATATTTGGGTCTGAAAATAAGGTACCCTAAAATCCAATTGTTAATCATGACTAACCCATTATAATTGCAACTTTGTGGGTATACCGTATACCCCATTTTCAAACAACCCCAAATCATAGAGTTGGTTGTATCCCACTATATCCCACTATATCCTCATCATATTCCCATGATTGTTGGTTACAGATTACCATGTTTGTTGGTCAAATCAAATCCCAATTTTGATGGATAGACAATGGTAGATCATGTTAGATCCATATTTCTGTTGGTTACCATTTTTGTTGGTTGAATTGCATTTTTACTTGCACGAACACTCAACGAATTGGGCTAGCTTTTCATGTGCGGCAGGAGCTGCAGGAGAGGCTCCGTGAGAACCGCACTGCTCTGAACTTGGCTGAACAACGGTGCGGCAGATGACCTTTCGGGGATGGTGTTGGGGGATGGTTTTTGGATGTCGAATTTATCATAAACGGCAATCATAAATATGCGGCGACATGGGATAATTTCCAAAGGTGGCTGAATTTTGGCAGCAAAGCTGGGATTTCGCTTCACCAGCAAACATGTTTTTCTTTTTACTGTCAAAACTTGGGTTTCAACTAGATAAAATCAACAAATTTGACCAACAAGTTTTAGCTTGAAGTAGCAAAACATACTGTGGATGGTTGCAAAATCCTGCGCCAGTCCATAGATGGTTTATCCCATGATTTTTAGGGGTTCAACCATCCTTTTGGTGGCGCAGGATTTCGCAACCATTCGCAGTATCAGTCCTTGCGAAGTTCACCAGCACAGCCAATCGCCATCCGACTACACGTGAATATGACATTGGATAGACGCAAAAGGTGGAACGCAGAAATACCGTTGCTGCCCAGTTGATCAGGAATATGTATAATTAATTTTCTGTTTTGGTAGACAAACCAAATCATAGTTGTTGTATCCCACTCTTTTCCCATCATATCCCCATCATGATTGTTTAAAGATCACCATGTTTGTTTGTAAGATCCAATTTTTGACACTTAATGCCCAATTTGTTTGTTGTTCGCAGTTTCGACAGACCCGTGCGCAACAGGCGCTCAGAACAGGATGTGCAGCACTGTTCAGTCCTCAGTCGCGTGAGCGATCGCCCGTTTAACTGTGTATATGTGTTTGTGTAAACATGGGTTTGTCTTAAAATAGGGTAAATAATCCTAAAATCATGGAATATTTTGATGAATCATCACGAATCATTCATCATCCATAATTCATAGTTAATGATTCATGATTCACGGTTCATGATATCAGCATCATCAGCATCACCATCATCATCATCATTATCATTATCAGCATCATAACCTTCATCTAGTCAAAAAAAGGCCCTTTGATGGGTATGTTTTTAGCCATACCCATATTGTTCAAAATGTGTGCCCACGAAGATGGTGTATCTTTGTCCACTTGCAAGCCAAGGTGCCTTAGCATAATCATTTATCTACCCGGACTTGCGTATACTGTGAGATGCCCCTAAAACTATCGTGGATTGGATTGGCACAATGCCATCCCCTGATCGGAAGATTTAGCAGTTGCTCATTCTTGAGTATATGAAATAGTGTTTTATCTAGTTGCTTAAATCGAGCCTAAGCTCTTCAATCATGACTTCAAACAAGTGACCACCAACGACCATGAATGAAAAATGCGCAGTATCCGATCCAAGGGAGAGTGTCATCATTTCATATCAATATTGCATGTATAGGAATTGAATGGAATTGATTCGTCTGAAAATAGGATACCCCAAAAGATGACTGTTAATCATCATGTTCCTCCCAAAAAACTACAATGTTCCCATTAAATATCAATAACCAATGTGGTTGTATCACGCTTTTCCCTTTTCACAAGAACTCATCCATACTAGCCACAGAGGAACCTCCTGAGCCCTCTGCGCCCAGATCGTTTGACGGAACGCTCCAACCAAAAGTTGGAAGAGGTGCGATGGCGCAGTTTGTTCTGGCTCAACGGTTCAACCTTGGGTGGTGAAAAAACAACTTACAGTAATCAGACTTACTCTTGTTAGTGGTTCACTATTACAACATAAACTTCAGTGCAATCTTTCCCCTTTCTATCCCGCCAATCCAATGATATGGGTATGGATCAATACCTATAAAAATACAATTTTTAGGGGGTTATTCACATCCATAAATCCCAATTATTTTGGGGTTCACCAGGTGTACCAAGGTTTTGACTCATACCCATATCTGAATGATCAGCGTGTTGACTCGGCGGGCCTAGGGTTTGAAGCAGCGAGATTTGGAGGAGGACCCGGCACTGTTTCGTCCCACCTTTGCAACTGGATTACCCTCTGGTAATGACTAACATAGCTATGGAAAATTGCCATTTCTAGTGGATTTTCCCATTAATAGCATGGTGATTTTCCATAGCTATGTTCGTTTACCAGAGGGTAAATGTTGATCCTTACAACCATGATACGTTTCGGGAATTAGCTCTACATCTAGCTGCTAGATGTCTATAGAACACTTCGTCAGCTGTCCGTAACGATATGGCTGTGGTTAGCGTTGCTGATCAACGTCAGCGACCTGCCCTGCGAGGAAAAATTGCGCTTGGCCACCGAATTGCACCTGGACTGCAGAGATTGGTCACCCATCAGACCGTCTTTGGAGGGAAGGACATCCAATTCCCCCCTCCAGTTAACTTAGCTATTGAAAGTGCCATTTAGTTCGTTGATTATGTTGCTTTACCTATGAAAAAGGCTGATTCTCCATATATGTAAACGTTTACCACAAAATAAACCCTGGCTGTTTTTTGGATACATCGTACCAGGCTTTCGGAGCCATGTCCACTTTGGGTTCCAAAGGTGGCCTCTCCAGGTGCCCCCAAGGTGGACCTCTGGGATAATTTACCATGATCTACCCTAGACGACTACCATGTTTAATAGGCAGGCATATGAAAAACCATCATCCAATATCATACACAAATGGGTCATGTTCCATAGCTATGTTCAATAACCAGAGGGTATTTTATCCACATGACCCAGATTCTCCGCGGACTGTATGGTATACCTTTAGACCGTATTCCCCCAAAGAAATGACCAAAGGAAGACTATTCAGCTTGAAAGTCTAACATGTCTAACCACTCTGCTAGCTTCTGAAGACAGTCCCCGATGATCGCAGGTATCAGACTTTTCAGAAGAAATTTCAGGAGCAGGCTGAGAAAAAGTCCAAGGCGCGGCGAGGTCACCCTGGTTGCGCCCATCACTACTTAAAAAGTATGGACATTGGAATCACTGGAAGGGAAACTCAGGAAAGGAGCTGATTGAACATTGAGAATTTCAGGGCAGAAACAAGTCATATCAAAAAAGTAGATGTAAGTCTGAATCAGGACAAGTCCAACCGGGCCTAGAGTTTTGATTTAGCGTTTGTCCATGTTTTGCTTCGCAAATGATTTGCTCTCCCATGCTGTGCCAAGCAGATCTTTAGGATGTCCTCGCAGTAGCAAATTCATGCCAATATCATCCACAATCCATATGTTCAGGGGTTGCATCCGCATTTTGGATGGCTACCACTCTGTCACTATAGTAATTTCTTTGTTTTCAAACTGGTTGAGTCTCTACACGTTCAAGCAAACAAATGGTGAGACAAGTCCTGAACATCGGACGTTTCTTCACTTGTCTCTCACCACTGCCAGCTTCCTGATCTGGACACAAAGGGTGTCAATTCAGCTATAAATTCACCCAACTATATATAGATGGGTTTAAGGGTTTGTCTTAAAACATGGAACCTCCTTCATTGAAATCCAACTTGACAATAAACCATGGGATTTGGGAGGTAGCCAAGTATAAAACTAACCCACATATATCCACTCGTTCAACCCATCCGTTAACATACTTATGTATAGCAACTTAGCTGCGATTGGGGGGTCATCAAAAAGGGTGATGTTCTCCCACTACATCTCATGAAATTGTCCTGAACGTGTTGGTCTCATTCACTTTGTGACTTTGTGGTTCAGACACCGTTTATGTCGCCATTTGGGTCTGTTGGAAATTTGGAAATAGGGTACCGCCAAATCTCCTGGTTAATCAGGCGATTTATTTTTTTAGAATTGCAATTCGTGGGGTGCCCCATGTTTCAGTCACACCCAACTGGTGATATCCATATTACCCATTATTCATTGCTTGAATCCCTATTTATGGATGGTCCAAGCCCTATTTTGTTGCTTTTTTCTCCACCATTTATCCGCTGATTTTCACCAAGCCCAGTTGCGCAAAATGGCTTGGTTTAACCCTCATCCCACTGTATCATACAAGGTGGGGGCCCCTAGTTATAAGTTGGTCTATAAGCCCGGCAATCCTATAGATATATCAAGCTATATCAGTATCTATATAATATATCAGTTATATAGTTTTACACCAGTATTATATATATATATCAGTTGTATCCCAGTAATCCAACAGTTAACCAAGTCATTAGCCAACTTAGCTAGCTGGGGGGTTGTAGTGGATGAATCGGTATTGGAATCGGCATTTGCAGATGGGTTGTAAGTTATACCTCCATTTCCATCGGTTTACTCCTAGTATTGATGGATGTTGGTAGTTAAATCATCTCAAATCTCGTTCGACCTCTATTTGTTGCTTAGATTCACCTTTTTGGTACCTGGTAGGTCATCCCAGGCCGCATTCCCGCGGTATCACCACGTTCAGGAGCACCGGACCCAGCGGCAACTCATTTTGCACGAGACCGAAGCCTTGACAGTGGATCTCTCACGCCTTAGGCGGGGGGTGAAACAGGCTGCTCCAGAGATTGAAAGAAGAAAAGGTAGTTGGTGATCTATGGTTATACCACGTGATACCATCTTATACCACTAAGTACATAGTTTCTTCTATACATAGAATCACATATCACACATATGTGGTCTCAAAAGGACTAGAAAAAGGGCTCACGAATTGAAACATATCCGATTTGGACAATTCTGCTAGGAAAAAAGTTGGCGAAACAATTGCGACACTTAGATTTGTGGAATTGCATTTAAGTGCACAATAATGTTTTTGACATTAAGCCCAAGTAGCGCGAATCTGCGCACGAGTTGCCCCTTGTCTGCAAAAAGTGGGACGAATCTCAATCACTGCTATATTTTTGAATGCAAATTGTGGTCTAGATATGGACACTGGTTTTCAAAGTGACTTGTCCCAGCTACTCAGCTACTCTCGTCGTAATTTCCTGGTGTTTTCCTCTCTAAATTTTCATCCATTGGACATGTCACTATTGACCAATTGGACCCACGCCTTACCAGGAGAGAATATGAGCAAGAGAAACACGCCGTACGCAAACTGACGGAGGAGGTTGGCTGATGAGGGCAGGTTATCCGCCTATTCTATTGTTGTTTTTTGTTATCACCTGAGGGTGATGTTGAACCACTAAAATCGGGACATGTAAGGACACAGCAGGCACATGTCGGTGTTGGTTTCAAGCATTTGTGATTTATGCCCAACTATGATCTTGGACAACTAATCAGCCAACTGGTTTGGAGCATATGTTTGCAGAATATATACAAAAAATCCTTCGTCTACTTTTTTCTTTGTCCACTGCATGTAAGTCATCAGTCAAAACGTCACCAGCCGCCGCATTTCGGAAAATGGGCCAGCTCTGCCCCACATCAAGAAAGACCATGGTGCCTGGTGTTTTTCCCCATGACCTTAGATCATCCCATTTAACGTCCATTTGGATGAACTATACTGACCTCACGTCGTGACGTCGCATGAATAATAGTAAGGCGAATCCCCAAATGGTTTCGTTTCAGCTATTTGCAGGGTGAGTTATTGTAATTCAGCCAGATATGTCTAAAATATGTGGCAAGATCGCAATGTGGGTTGTTTCAATCCCCATGTTTCCCTCTTGGATCCCAGTCGGATGAAAAAGCATGAGGTTGAATCTGTAATCCGTTTAGGTTGATTCCCACGATTTACTATCCTCCTGTAAACTTACATAGAAGCAGAGAATCCATTTTTGTAGATCATGTTCCTGGGTAAACCATTGGTTTCTCACATCTTTATCTATGTTTACCCCAGGGTATTGGAAAACACAAACACAGCATTTGAGTCTTTTCAAGATTCAAAGATTCTCACGCCCCAATGATTTGACTCATACCAAGATGTCCTTCATTCAAACAACAATCAAAGCATATCATTTCAGGTTAAATCGTGAAATCCCAGATTTGGTACCAATTAGCATCTATCACCATTTCAGATTTCACCAATTGAGCACCAGTTCTTCCAGAATATGATAATTTTTTATCATTTTCCTAGGTTTCACCGTTTGTCCACATCTTTTTCTATGTTTACTCTAGGGTAGTCCATAAATTCTCCCAGAAAGCCCAGCTGTCGAGGTGAAAGAACTGACACATAACCATGGTGTGGGGATCCACCAGGCGAGGAGCTTGTGGAAGATGGGCAAATTGACTGGGGATATCATCAGTTAATGGTGGTTAATTGGGAACATCATCAGTTAATGGTGGCAGTTAGTTCAATGTGGTTCATGGATGTTCATGGTCAAAGTCATAGTGGTCAAACTGTTCAGGCTAGTGAATGGTTATGACTCATTATGACCATTGAATACAATTTCTCTGGATGTATGAATAATAATGAAGAATACATATACAGTACCATCACCGCTAGTTAGATAATTACAGTAAGGGGTTCACATTGGACACCCCTTTGGTGCGATATTTTCAGGCAAAGCCGTCTCCTATGCAAGTTGGTGTGTTTATATGTATGTGCATATATATATATATACATATATAGATACTGTTGTAGCTCTTTCTTGTTTGCAGATAAAACATGTTTTTAGTGAGAAAAATATATCTACTTGTTGGGGCGTTAATCTATGTGTCCTTTTTCGGGCGATATATGTTCATTTGGGTGAGTAATAGTTTCCCTCCTCTTAGGCCTGTTGCGTTATATATGTACAGTACATAGCAATATATATATATATATATATATACATACATACATGCATACATACATACATACACACATACTTACATACATATTTTGTTTTTATGGGTTATGTAACAAATTAGGTTTTATTTTTTAAAGTTTATTTGTTTATTTTGCAGTATGTATATATATATATATATATTATTCTTTTTTCCACATGAGATATTATAGATTTTTTCATTGTAGTATGTATATATATATGTCACTATTGCATATTACATCATAAATTGTTATATCATTTGTTTGTTTAATATGTTTTTGCAGCTGCTGTTATTATGGTATTATATTACTTTTTTTATATCATATTTGAGGTTTTACAATTTGATATATCAAATGAGATTTGATTATCCTTTAATTTCAGTTTGATTGTTTTGTTTTTGTTTTGCCCATATAACATCGCATTGTTGTTTTAGTGGTTATTCATATCTATATGTATATAAATATGTTGACTATGGTTAAATTCATGTTATGTATATTTATGTCTTATGATATTTATATGTATAGTAAAGTTATATGTATAAATAACTGTATATATTTATCTTATGTGTATATTCATGGTTAAATGACGTTTTTATGTATATTACATTTATTTATGTATTTATTGTTTTCTCATATGTATATTTATTTGTGTAGTATAATATGTTATTTCAAATTATATCATGTGTTGTTATATTATATTATGTGTGTGTGTTTTTATGTCATATTATTTGTATATCATATTATTTCATATTTTATATTCCATATTTCAATTGATTTCATATGATTTCACATTATATCATATTATATCATACAACATTATATATTATCATCATGAATCAAATATCATATAACATCATTGAATATCATGTAATATCATTTCATATCATACAATATCATATCATGTTCTTGTTTTTTGTTTGCATTACATTAGATTATATTGTTATTTTCTAGTATATATACATAATTATACATATATACACATGTGCCCCCACACATATATTTTTTCTTGTGGACGGGTCAAATCTATCATCACCTGAAACGGTAGACTGGCTGGAACCTCTTCAAAAAAATCTGGGGAACTGCGAAAGGAAAATATCGGCATCATGTACATCAACCAGTTTCCGTAAGATTGTCAGTGGAAATTTCCGCTGCAATTTCTGGGAAGCACAACCGCTGCAAAAAATGGACATCACCAGCAGCAATGCTGGGATTGTGGATCTGAGCATGGAAACGGTTGATCTCTGGTAGAACCAAACATGCCGAAACGCACACACCAGCAGCCAGTTTCAATCGTATCTCCAATTTCAGGTCAACAATCAGAAACATTACCCGTACCCTTTGCTGGACTGATCTGGTGACAACACTGACATGACAGATCCATTGGTCCGTTGCTGTTTTAACGGTGCTCGTTCAATCTTTGACCAGCGTGGACTGGGTGAAAGCGCACCATGCCTCTGACCTCGTGTATTGATAGTATAAGTTACTGATGCGTATCTATGATAACTTTATAGTAAAAATAAACATACATATCCCGACCAAGAAGTTCGGCAAATGTCACTTACCCAATACTATGTAACATGGTTCGCACATTCACCATTACCAATGAGTTGTCAAATACATTACTTTCGAGTAAACACACATAGTTATGGAAAATCATCACTTTTAACAGATAAATCATCTATTCTCGTGGGCCATCTATTTTCCATAACTATGTCAACAGAGGGCATAGCTATGCTGTTGCCCGTCAGATTGCGGACCTTCAAGAGATGGAAGAGCTGCAGGGACAACTGGAGGCACGTCTCTCAATATGTCAATCAGGAAGGAAATAGTTTTACTGTAAGCCAATGAAATCTGTTCACTCTTTGCTGTTTTGATTGTGAATATATATATATGTGTGTGTGTATAGAAAGTGTGAACCCTTCTGCAGCATTCTTTTCACTCTATTCCAACTGGTACTGCGACACGTGAGAAATACCAGCCCTCGGTAGAGACAAAGCACATACATCAAGGCCCAAAAGGTATCACCACAAAAATCACCTCATAAAGCCACCCAACCAACCTACAATTATGAAGGATAATATAATATATATATATAATCATAATAATAATAATTATTATTATTAGTGTTATTATTATTACTATTATTATTATTAGTGTTATTATTATTACTATTATTATTGTTATTATTTTTACTATTATTATATATAGATTGCACAATATTTTGGATATCTGCAATATCTACAGAATTTGACTCTAACCGGCAGATGCGCATAGGATTGCATAAGCATATCTGTTGTGTATGTGCATAGACATCTGCAATGTGGACCAGTGGGGAATGGAACTGCGCCGGCTCCCAGAGGCCAAACGTGCGGCGTTGCAAGATGAGATGCAAATCCTCTTGGCTGGGGCCCAATGCAGCGACCCATTGACGCAATGGAAATGTGTAATGTGGGTAAAAACAATATAAAACAATGCCATAAACCAGCCATTTGGGAATGGTTTATAATGGTTTATAGAAGCTATTTCTGGTGATGACTGGGGGATGGTAAGCATGGCATTGTTTTAATTACCCACATTATAGAAATATGTGGTCTAGCAATATAGTGTATGATATACGAATGAATACACATCCCATTGATCCACAAGGAAGTTTCAAAGTGAATGCGTTTGTCATGATTTGTCCAGAACAGGGTATTTAAGGGTATTTCGTCGTGAACATGATGACACACCATGGGAGGTTGGTGTGCCAAAATCGAAAGGACTACTTGATACTGGTGAAAAGATGTGTAATTGTTTCGCCGATCTCTGAGGGCATTAAAATTAGCAAACAAATGGACCTAATGCTTGTGAGCCTT